CACTTGCCCATTATGACTACAGGGAGCCCCACTCAACAACATTTTAAGATTCTATTAAATTATTAATGACAAAATAATTATTTGAATATGATTTGTTCTCGACTCCTATTTGGGCAGGTTGGCAGCACATGTTGGTGTATGTACTCTCTGCGGTTCCATTGTGGGTGGGCACTTACAGGTTGGTTGCAGGTTGCCGTTCTTGAGGGTAAAGCAAGAAGGCCAGCTTCAGTGTATGTATCTCTTCCAAGCTCATCAACACGAAACACAGGTAAAGAAATGCCTAACACAAAGAAAACCACAAGTTGTGTGATTAATGTTTGCCCATGTATTGTAACTTGCTTTTCACCTGAACATTAGTTCTACGTGATTGTGTTGAGCACAACTGTGGCTTCCACCCAACCTGACTGCGATGCTCATGAGTTTTGACTCTTTCCAGTTTTTCAGCTCAGGGGGGGACAGTTTTTCTCCTCCCAGGTTTCTGTGACTTCGTCTTTGGATTCGACAACACGTGCCGTCATCATCAATTTTCCCTTTCAGGCCAAATCTCGGTGACCACACATTCTTTCTTCTATATTCTGGCCAGCTCTTGTAACCGTGACAACAGGTTGCGAGTCCTGACACCTGCTTGGAGCTCGCTTTTGTTGGCTAGGGCTGAGGTCGAGACGGAGACGAGACACAACAATAATTGGGATTTACAATATTTGCAAGATATTCTCAAGTCTCACTTTTGACATCCATTACACTGATTTAATACAGATATGCGACACAAATCAACCTGGTAAGAGTTCATCCAGAGTTGGATTTCTTGTTAACAAATCTGTAGCGTTGTTGTGTGTGTGTGTGTGTGTGTGTGTGGTGTGTGGTGTGTGTGTGTGTGTGTGGTGTGTTGTGTGTGTGTGTGTGTGTGTATACATACATTTTGAGGCTGATGGCTTTTGGTGTTGGGGTGCTGAGATATTCCTTTGCCCAATGCTCCAGTGAGGGCAGATAATCATGCAGTTCCTGCTTCATCTCTTCCTGGCTTACACCCAAAGTGTACCTAGAGACACATGGACAAAACACAAATATAACTAATCAAGACAAACAATATGCACACAAACATCAAGTGAACAACGTGATACACCGGAACATATTGTTAAATCTACAGGAAACATTCACAAATAAGTGTTCAGCACTTTCCTGCTGATGTAATTTCTTGATTAAAGTGCTTTGTTCTGAAAAACTGTGAAGTCATTACAGACAGGAAATGGTCTGCAGCACCTCACTGAGTATAATCCAACCACTTACATGTCTCCCAGGTACTGAGGACTGTGCAGGGCCTGGTCAGCCAGTTTAGACAATGTCTCCAAAGAAAAATCTTTAGCTGTAGCTGCTCTCTGGAAGACTTCATGGACCATGGTGCCGTTGAGCATTTGCTTGGAGCCACCGTCAAAACTCTACATCATGACAAACAGAAAGAACAGGAGAAGTTCAAGAGTTATATCACTGTGTTATTGAGGTATGTGTATTCAAAATAATATGAAAACTATGCATCAAAATCAAACTATGATCCTAAATGATATAAGCACCTTTTGTAAATTTTAGATATTAAGCTGGAATTTTATCTTTCACTTCTTAGATACAATCAAGGCTTTCTAACCACTACTACAATCACATTTACATAATAGCAAGATTTATACAGTATGTATCTGTACTAAACATTATGTTTTTTTAGTGTCATTGTGCATGTGGGTAACGTTCACATTGTGCAGTGTACTGTCCACTTCAATGTATATTAAATAAGAAATTTAAGATAATAACACACAATAATCAACAAATATAAAAAGGTAGTGATAATAATTGTATTAGTAAACCCTTCACCTTGAACATATCTCCCAGTACAGCACGCCGCATGCAGCGGATGGAGCTCGAGATGCTGGTACCTGAGATGAGGCTATCGGGTAGTAAAACCAGGAAGCCCTGCTCCCTGTCCACTAACCAGGCTCCACTATCAGAGCGGCCCTCCAGATGCACCACATCGCCACAACAAACAGGAGTCATCTCCCTGGAAACACCCGAGGAATGATTGTTTTATATTCAAATTCACATCTAAAGCAAAGATAAATAAAAAGGCACCAGCTCATGAATTAACATTTCCATAGCCCCACTAAAGAAAATAAAATAGATAATAGATTTTTATGATTAAAAGAATGAAAAGCTCAGTATTTGCACTGATAGTGTACACAGTGAACTATAGCGTTACTTTACCAAATATGGGCTGCATCTGGGCATTGTAGCGAAGAATGTCATGTACATTATGATGTAAATGAAGAATTGAATAACAGGGTTAACAGGACAGAAAACACCACCACACAGCATTACCATCCATCTTTCAGCAGACACGTCTCAGTTGGGTGTAGAGATTTGGAGCATGAGATGGTCAGTGTTTTGTGGCCAGGCCTTTCCTCGACTTCTAAAACCCAGTAGCGGTTGTTTAGGCCTCCAGAAAGGATCACGTGGTCTGGCACCTTACTGTAGGGACAGAAAACAGAAAACACATCAACTTTCCAGTCACAAACTCACACTCACACCAGTGTAGGGTGCGTTCACGTGTTTCTCACCAGGGTTTTTTGGGTTTATCCCCTTTAATAAGACCTTCATTATGATCCATCTGCTCTGCAAACCAGCTCTCGTCCAGCTCGTCGTCCACAGGAAACGGCAACGTCATTCCTTTAGTTTTCAGCGTGGGAAAAAGTGACCAAAGAAAAAACACACCAAAAAAACAAGTTAGCAGGAAAGAAAGGGATGTGAATTAGAGCCACGTGTATCCTGTACTGATGCAATGTGAATATCATATACAGTCATCTGGAACCATCATGGGTCCATCACACAGACACTTTACTCAGGAGAAACACTTTCAAAATAAAAGATGCATTCAAGCGGGTTGCTTTTTTTTGTTGCCGTTAAAAACTGAAATATTTGATCATGTCAACAACATGCAGTTTTTGTCAGAATAATTACAATTCAATACAAAACACGTGGGGGATGGTAATCAAAATGTATCACCTCCAGCTTGTCCCTGGTCTGATGATGTCACGTTGTCTCCGTCTCCTTTTGATGAGGTCACTGCATTTCTTGTAGCTTCTTTCTTGTTAAGGTCAACCTCTCCCTCCTTTTCACTTCTCTGTGCCACAGTCGTGATAGTTTGTGCACTAGGTTTCTGCATGTGAGCAGTAAGAGTGGGAGCATCCTTATCCAGACGAGTGTGTGAGTGTCCACTGGCTTTCGCCCCAGTTGCCTTCTGTTCTGTTACCACAGTAAAAACAGAATCCTTCTTGTTTCCATCTCTCTCTTCCTGATGTTTTCTCTGTTCCCCAAAAGATTGGCAAGAAGCAGACTTCAGTGACATCATTTTGTTTGTGCTGTCATCAAAGATCACTTTAGAAGCTCTGCTGTGACCTCCTGACTGGTGACTGGAGAAGTGAGGTGTCTTCCCAGGCCCAATCACAGGCCTTGTTATTTTCACGTTGCTAGCTGTGGGGCTGAGCACAGCTCTTTGTGCTGGTGGATTGGCAGTTCTTGGTCTCTTGGCAATGTGGAGCTCTTGAGGAGGGCTGAAGAGTCTTTTTGTGGAGCCAAAACCTCCCTCTTCCCTCTTGGTTTTTCCTTCATTTTCACTCATCACTCTCCGTACACTCTGCCCTTTGGATCGGGGACTGCGACAGATGGGGGACAGTTGGCAGAGCTTCTCCAAGCTCCACACCTCTCTGCTGGGCCTGGGGCTCAGTTGACCTGAATCTTTGGACGAAGAAGAGGAAGCAAGCCTAATCTGACTCATGGGTGTCTCGGGAACAGAAAGGAGAAGATCTGGTGAGGAGGGCAGGAGGTTTTCAAGGTCCCCAAGGATACTCCTCTTTAAGGGGGAATGGGGTCTGAATCTAGAGGTTTCACCATCTTTGATCTGAGGTTCAGTCTTGGCGTGCGCGTTGCCAGTGACAAACAATTTTGTGGAAGGTGACAAGTCCTAAAAGCAACACAGTCAATTAGTATTTTAATACAGACATTTTTATTAGTAAATTGTTAATGTAAATCAGAGGTAAACGGGATTGTGCATTACAGCAGATTAGAAACAGATGAGAAGTAATACAATGAAAACAAAAAAGGTGAAAAAAAGAGACAAATTAGGAAATAGCAGAACAGAAAAAGCAAGATGAATAAAACAGTAACAATATTAATAGTAAAAGCAATTAAATGTGGTACAAACTATATTTATGAAATATATAATGTTTAGCAATTGTCTTATCCCAGTCTTAAAGGTTGTATTACAGCAATTTATACTTAAGGGTTATCATTTACCAAACTGATCTGATTGTTTTTACTGGGTGAAATGAACAGTATATGTGCTTGACTATTATACGCACTAAATAATTAATTATCTCTCAAAAAATGTGATCAGTCTAAATGATCAATAGTGGCATTAAGTAATAATATGGGAGTTTGACAGTCCTGTAAAGACCTAGAAAATAATAAGGTGGAGAGAAGACAAAAGGTAAAGAAGAAACAACTAACTTAAAGAAAAAAATCTAATTTACCCTCTGGTGGTTTTGAGAGGAAAAGAAGGACGAGATATTCTTGTGGCCTTCTGGTGCCTGACAGAAACAACAAAGCAAACACTTATCATTAAAGTTAAAACAGAGCTTCTTGTTTGAAAAGGCATTTGACTTTTCAGACTTCAACCAAACATTTGTCAGTAATAACCTGCTGATAACTGCAAACCAATCATGTTCACCTAGATAACACAGCCATATATGTATCTGATACACCATTAAAAACCTAGTTCATTTGTGTTTTCTGATATCCTACTTTGTTGACAGGAAAAAATAAAGATGGCTGCAGTGGAGTGATCAATAGAAACCAATGACAGATACAGAGCTGGGTTAATAAGAGACTGCTGACATAATAAACACTGAACACTGAACACAGTCTCTTTATTTCAAACCCTCACATACTGTTTTTAATCACATAAAACCAGCAGACACTGTTCGCTAAACCTTCTCCACTCACCCTGGTTTTCTTCAGCTTGGTCCTGTTCATGGCGGCTGATTAAAGTCCGGACAGGTGTATGTATTTATGTATTTATGTGAGTCTGCTCAGCGGTAAACGAGTTGTTTATTAGCGGTATCTGTTAGTTATCTGACAACAACGGGAGGCTGTTAGCTAACGTTACATCGTCTACTACAACAGCGTTAACTAACGTTACAACCGGGAGGTTACTGACTACTACAACAGCGTTAATTAACGTTACGTTTCCGTGAAAACGAGAGGACTATTTTGATGTTTGGAGTCATCTTCTTGATGGTCTTTTCGCTGTTTCCTCCAGATGTTTAAAAGTCTGTGGCGCCAAAGTTTCAGCTTCGCGCAACGGAAATGACGCCAGGTGTACTTCCGCTATAGCCACGATTTGACGAGTCAAAACTAACTGAGTAACGTTACATCAGGATACATTTCCATACAAATAATAGTATTTCTCAATAGGTTGGGACAGTAAAACAACATTCGTTTCATTTTAAAAGAGAAACAAACAAAGACACCGGATGAAAATAATTCTTACTCATTAGTTTTAGTTTTTTCAGGAAATATTGTTGTTTTAGGGACAGTTTAGTTGTGTACATTTAAACTTTTTGTCAATTCGGAAAAACAATAATAAAACATTATTCCATAATATATATACAAATATATACAAAGCCACTAAACATTTTCGTATTCAGACAGAAAATGTAATGTCGTGTTTCTGCACTCAGTCATCAGTGTATGTGGCTGCTACATATCTAAACTGCATGGATATTAAATGCTACAGTAGATGATGATGATGATGATGATCATCATCATCATTTTTTAAAAAGCTATTGTTTTGATGCTGATGAAACAGTCTCAGGTGCCCTCCAGAAACTGTATCCTCCTGGTGAACTGAACCACTATCAGGGTGTTTAATCTACTATATGGGTGGCTTTGTGTATCTCTCAGGGGTTCAGTAGACCCTAAATGTGTCATGAATTGTATTCTGCACCATAATAGAGCTACAGGGAGTGAAACTTTTCTTCAAGCCATTCTTCATCATTCTTTGACGTTGTGAAACAGCAGAAAACTGACCTTAGATTTCCCTCACCGATCAGCCCTCTCAGTCATCATACATATGACATCCACAATAATATGCTGCTCAGTCTAGCCAGTGTTTGAAAGTCTGACATATCTACGAGCTCATTTGCCTTTGTGAATTAGGGTCAACATGATTACATACTCCTCTCTCAAATGCAAATGTTTTCCATAATGCATGTAAAATATGGAACCATCAGGTTGGCAAGTGTCAGTATATAAAACCAACAGGCATTATTTTTTTTCTGGTTTCACACAATAGCAGCTATTTACTATTACATTAATTAAAATTTACATAAAATTAATATTATATACATAAAAGAGAACTTGCTGAGGCCGTCCCATCAACATTCAGAGACATGAATACTAGCGTTATAGCAGAAAATCAATACAACTACACCATGATAAGCATTATAAAGTTGTTGCATCTTCATAAAAGTATGTGTTGTGCTGCTTAGGTGTAATATGCAGTGTTTCAACAACCTTACCTCAGGAAGGTTGTTGTGACAATGAAAAAAC